TCTATTTTTCAGTGCCGTTATAACTTTTGAAGAATCATTAAACGAATGGCTGTAAGTCGAGGACTACCTGTACACATTTTGAAGTTATCATTTACTTTACAGTACCGAATTGGCTACATTTTTAAAAAATTGCTTAGCATAATTTATCCAAACTGAATAAGTTTTTAGAGGTATTAAAGCATTTCTGTGATTTGTAAGAAGAAGAAAAAAACATAAGTGAAAAGCACATTGAGGATTTAATTCAGATCTTCTGCATCATCTTATTGAAATTACTATAACGGAGCAACTTTGAAAAAAAGCTCTTTGATGAGACAACATTTTTATCAGTGTTCCACTAGTGAAAGATAGACTGTTTTGCCTACTTTTAGATCATAGTTTCTTAAAAAAGAACACCTATAAACCTTTAATGGAAAGGCCACATTAGGTAAAATATTTATGCCCGTTATGGTGAATTAGGAATGAAGCTAGTGGAAACTGCATTCTTGCTGACTCTACCTCTCAGTAGAAGTGCTAATTTAGCTTTATGAACAATCACAGCTTTTGATAGCTTCTCATATATCTATTTAGGGCTATCAAAATACAGAAGTAAAGAAAATATTAAACATGGTGGGATGAAACTCACACATGGAACACACAGCTAGAGGGATTTAAATTATTTAAAAGAAACAGACCAAATAAAAGAGGAGGTGGAGTTGCTCTCTATATAAGAAATAACTACATCTCCACAGAAATAGAGTACAACAATGATAAAAACTGTCTTGAATGCATTTGGGTCAATATAAAAGGGGGGGGGAAATGACATTGCCATAGGTGTATACTACAGACCACCCAACCAAACAGAGGAAATAGATGAACTTTTTGCTAGTCAGCTAACTAAGGTATGTAGGAAGCACATCACAATAGTAATGGGGGACTTTAACTACCCTGACATCAACTGGGAGACAAACTCCGCACCAAGTGGAAGATCAAACAGGTTCCTGGCAAACCTAGCAGACAACTTTGTCTCCCAAAAAGTAGAGAAGGGAACTAGGGGATTAGCCATTTTGGATCTAATTCTCACTAACAGAGATGAAATGATAGACGGTGTTGAAGCCATAGGAACCCTGGGAGGAAGTGATCATGCAATATTAGAATTCAACATTATAGAAGCACAACCAATAGAACACAGTCAAACTAGAGTCTTGGACTTCAAGAGAGCTAATTTCAATAAACTTAGAGAGGGCTTGGGAAGGATTCCATGGATGAGAATCCTCAAGGGGAAAACAACTCAAGAAGCTTGGGAAATTTTGAAAAATGAGATAATAAAAGCACAGTCTAGCACAATACCAACAAAGAGGAAAAATAACAGCTCTCAAAAGAAACCAGCATGGCTGCATAAAGAACTCTCTGACAAATTGAAAGATAAAAAGGACAAGTACAGAAAGTGGAAAGAGGGGAACATAACTAAGTCAGAATATCAGCAAATAGCCCGAGCCTGCAAAGATGAAGTGAAGAAAGCCAAGGCTCAAAATGAACTAAGGCTTGCGACCAAAGTCAAAAATAACAAAAAAAGCTTCTTTCAACATGTAAAAAACAAGAAAAAAGTGAAGGAAACGATTGGTCCATTAGTGGGTGGAAGTGGCAAGAAGGTGACAAGCAACAGGGAGAAAGCAGAACTATTTAACTCATTTTTTGCATCTGTCTTTACACAAAGGGAAAAAACAGACCAACCTATCAAAAATAGTGCCATAAAAAACAAAACAGAAACACAAGTTAAGATAGGCAAGAAAATGGTTAGGGAGCACCTGTCCAGCCTAGATGAGTTCAAATCGCCAGGACCAGATGGATTACACCCCAGAGTTCTCAAGGAACTGGCAGATGTGATATCGGAGCCACTGAACTATATTTTTCAAAGATCCTGGAACACAGGGGAACTACCAGAGGACTGGAAAAGAGCTGATGTAGTTCCCATCCTCAAAAAAGGAAAAAAAATGGATCCAGGAAATTACAGACCTATCAGCCTGACCTCAATACCTGGGAAGATCCTGGAAAAGATAATCAAACAACGAATCAACGAACACCTAGAGGCAAACAAAGTCATTACTAAAAGCCAACATGGGTTTGTCAAAAATAGATCATGCCAGACAAATCTTATTGCATTCTTTGACCAAGTGACAAAATTAGTGGATCAGAGGAATGCTGTGGACATAATTTACTTGGACTTCAGTAAGGCATTTGATAAAGTAGATCACAACCTACTACTTGACAAGATAGAAAAATGTGGGGTAGACAGAACCACCACCAGATGGATCCGTAGCTGGCTGACCGGCCGTACTCAGCGAGTGGTCCTCAATGGAACTGCATCTATATGGAGGGAAGTGTGTAGTGGGGTGCCCCAGGGCTCTGTTCTGGGCCCAGTACTCTTCAACATCTTCATCAACGATTTGGATGAAGGGATAGATGGGGAACTCATCAAATTTGCAGATGACACCAAGCTGGCAGGAATAGCCAACACTCCAGAAGACAGGCTTCAGATACAGAAGGATCTGGACAGACTTGAACACTGGGCACTAACTAACAAAATGAAATTCAATGGTGAAAAAAGCAAGGTTCTACATTTAGGCAAGAAAAACCAAATGCACAAGTACAGCATAGGTGGCACCATGCTCAATAGTAGTAACTGTGAGAGGGACCTCGGAGTCCTAGTAGACAATCACTTAAATATGAGCCAGCAGTGTGCTGCAGCTGCCAAAAAGGCCAACACAGTGCTAGGCTGCATTAACAGAGGGATAGAATCAAGATCACGTGAAGTATTAATACCACTCTTCAATGCCTTGGTAAGGCCACACTTGGAATACTGCATCCAGTTTTGGTCACCACGATGTAAAAAAGATGTTGAGACTCTAGAAAGAGTACAGAGAAGAGCAACAAAGATGATTAGGGGACTGGAGGCTAAAACATATAAGGAACGGTTGCAAGAATTGGGTATGTCTAGTTTAACGAAGAGAAGGACAAGGGGAGACATGATAGCAGTATTCCAATATCTCAGGGGCTGCCAAAAAGAAGAGGGAATTAAGCTATTTTCCAAAGCACCTGAAGGCAGGACAAGAAGCAACGGGTGGAAACTAATCAAGGAGAGAAGCAACCTAGAACTAAGGAGAAACTTCCTGACAGTGAGAACAATTAATCAGTGGAACAGCTTGCCTCCAGAAGCAGTAAATGCTCCAACACTGGAGGCTTTTAAGAAGAAACTAGACAGCCATTTGTCCGAGATGGTGTAGGGTTTCCTGCCCGAGCAGGGGGTTGGACTGGATGACCTCCAAGGTCCCTTCCAACTTTACTATTATTATTATTATTATTATTATTATTATTATTATTATTATTATTATTATTATTATTATTATTATTATTATTATTATTATTAATTTAGCTGCTAATTGCAGGTAAATTGTATTGTTATAATTGTGAGATTCTTGTGTGGTTTTATATACTACCATAGATATTTTAAATTGCTTTACTGCACACTCAGTGTAAGTTGTCATTAATTTTTGATTCCAGCAGGAATGAAGAAGGGATACACAGACAATCTTTATATTAGGTTTATTTTTGTTTGGTTTTGTTTGAGTATTATTACAATTCTTACCTATTGGAATTGTTTCTGGAGTCTATGAAGTTTGTAAATTTCAAAGATTATAAATATCCACTCAGTGCCTGCTTTTTGTAACAGGCAAGTATCACACCTTCTAGCTCGTGTTTTAATATGAGTGGGATAAAACAAATTATCCTCAGGTTTCAATTGCTAAGTGAGACATTTGTTAAGTGAGTTTTGCCCCATTTTACAACCTTACTTGCCACAGTTATTAAGTTAGTAACACGGTTGTTAAGTTAATCTGGCTTCCCCATTGACTTAGTTTGTCAGAAGGGGCAAAAGGTGATCACATGACCCCGGGATGTGGCAACTGTCATGAGTCGTTTGCCAAGTGTCTGAATTTTGATCATGTAATCATGAAGAGGCTGCAAAAGTCCTAAGTGTGAAAAACATTCATGAGTCACTCTTTTCAGTGTCGTCGTCACTTCAAATGGTCACTAAATGAACTGTTCAAGACAGGGACCACCTATATGACAGTTAGACAGTGAAACATCTGCAAGTAAACAACCAAGCTCAGAGAGCACAAACAATTCCTCTGCCATATCAGTATTAACCACCATTACTCCATAGTTACTTATGGCATAACTTGGTATCAGGAAAATTTAAGGAAATCAGACAGGAAACTGAGGATTGATTTAATCTTATTGTGTGATCATCAGGGCATCCCAGTATATTCTTGGCTGTATAATTAGATTTAGCATGAATCAAATATTATTCCCCTTGGTGTATTTGTAAGAGAACAGTTCATTGCCCAGGTCCATTTTAAATCAAATTTGGACAGTACAGTCTTGCTTAACTTTGCTTAGCTTGCTGTGTCTCTTGATTAGTATGTTTCTTGTCACACATAAACACAATTAATCCCAAATTATCAGGATCAGGATATAAAGTTTGTGAATGTATTCATTATAATTATAATTCATCTTTTAATCCAGGGATGCATTGGGGGGATATTACGATCCTATTTGCCACCATGCTAGTTCTAAAATGCCAATTACATAGCAATTTCTCTCTTAGGAAATGTTGTGCATAAGTACTTCAGTTTGGTGTCAATTAGAAGGCACCTTCCATCCATCCCTAACTGATTAAATTTAAGCTTTCAAATCATCAAGAAGAAAAACCTTTAATTCGATAATGACTCATTTACTGAAGGAACAAAATCAAAATATTCAAGCCCAATAGAAGCTGGGTGGGTTAGAAGCAGAAAGTAACTGTTTGCCAGCATGGAAATAGAATGGGAAGCAGAACTGTCCTCATTGTAAAACTCTGCAGATATGTTGTGCTGATGTCTATGTTTGCATTGTTAAACCTAAGACTGTAAATAGGTGGTTATTGTGCTGTGTTATGTTAAAACAACTCCTTTTTTTACCTTTAGGACAAAATGTTTCATTTCTGGGTCAATACATTCTTCATACCAGGACTGGAAGAAAACTCTGACAAAGTAGAAAATGGAAGTCTTCTTGGAGATCAGGAACTTGATGGCATTTTGAGTACAGAGCGTTCAGATAATGACAAGGAATATTTAATCCTTACACTAACAAAAAATGATTTGGACAAGGCAAATAAGGACAAAGCAAATCGATATTTTTCTCCAAATTTTAGAGTAAGTATTTTCAAAGCAATCCAGTAATATAATATAAACTGTGTGCAATTTATGTTATATATAGTCGTCTCTGTGATTCACACATAAGGCGTATATGCCTACACAGAGGCCTATTCAGAACTTTATAGAACTTACAGAATTATTTTGTGAGTATTCCATCTTCCCCCATAACATTCAGCTAGGCTTAATGTCAGCTGAACCCCTTCTTTTAAACTACTGTATTAATAAGTACACTTTCTATTGAGCTAACATTCTTTCTGCTTCCTATCAGTATTATTTATCCTTTCCTAGTTTTTCTCAGCAGACATCTTGAATTGTGCATCAGCACGCTACGCCTGCTGTTTCCCAAGTTCTAATGTTGGATGGGCATAAGCTCTACTTTTTGTCTTGGTGAAGTTTGTGCAGTAGACACTGCCAGGCATTCACTAAATAGGTTTGTCACAATTGTTCTTCTCATTCATGAATTGTGGTCTATTATCAGGCTTTAAGGTTGGCAAATTTTAGAGCTATTCTGCCCTGCATTAAAGAATTATCCAGTGGTGGATAATTTCAGACAATTCCTTCCACATAGATCTTTCTCAAAAAATGTTCTGAACTTTCTGGATCAAACTGCAAATAGCAAGATGCATTAAAAAACCCTCAACGTTTGAAAGGCGTACCAAATCTTATAAGGTGTGTCCATATGAGAGGATTTCCTGGTTAAGGTCACAAACTCAATGCTACACTATGTTAAAAATGTTGTTTTATTTGGCAACAACTCTGCAAGTGACTTTCAAGTTCAGTGTCTGAGTTGAACACACGGGCAATGCTGTTGGGGGATGTTACGTCTGACTGGCAATATTTAGGATATCTGTCTTCATCCTGGGCTCCAGTATTACTTACCTGCAAGCAGCAGCATACTTAATGACCAAGTACGTTCATTGTGCTGTCTCTTTTTAAAAATGATTAGTACCAACAATGAAGCTTGGCTCCAAGCTTTACCAGAGTAACCAATCTTCTGGGGTATTTCCACTAGCATAGTTCTGCTACTTGGCCATCTAGGCTGAACTTCGGAAGGACCACCCTTTCTTTTGTTGCGTATATCACCATTCTTCTCCTTTCAAACAGCTTACTACTTACTCATGTATGTGAATCACAGGTCATAGGGGGGAGTAAACTAGTTCCTCACCTGTAGCTGTACTTGTTAAGTGGTCATCTGTGAATTCAAACAGTCTTCCTTCCCTACTTAGTTTCTCAGTGTTCTTTCAGATTGGGTTTTAGGAACTGGTGGGTAGAAGGTGCATCGAGTTACAGGCAGTGGTAGAAGGGTGGAGGGGGAAATAATTCTGTGAACTCTGGAAGTCTTCAGAATAGAGCCATCCATTGACTTTACAGGTGATAACTCAAATAAAAGGAAGCAACCCATTCATAACTTTCCAGTCACTGGAGATATCCATGCTCTGTTGTTTCTGTGTGACCACAGTCACAGGTGCATTGTCTCTCTCTGGATAGGGGATCTTCCTCTATCAACCGTCAAGGACAGTTGAGGGGAGGTCATGACATTGTGCCATCAGGCAATTAGACACTTTGAGGTTAATTAAGTAGGCCATAGTGAAGGCAAAGTAGCTGTTGGATTCACCAGCAATAAAGACTGGGGACCTAGCTAGATCCAGTTGGTGGTTTATGTTTGGTACATATCCTACATATCCCATGCTGAGTAGATCTGGAGAGAAGCCCAAGGATGAGATTTTAGTTGCCACTACCCTTTTCCATGTGGACTGAAAAATCATCCTTCAGACTTAGCTTGAGCCAAATAGTTGAGAATGGTCACCTACACTTAATGATCACCTACATTCCATGTCAAGTGGTCTGATTTCAGAAAAGTGCCCTGCTCGACCATCATGGATTTTGATGAAATTTTGTGTGAACATGCACACATGTCCCCAATGAACATTGGTAAAGCATTACACTTGCCGATGCAATACTCTGTAGAAGGCTGCGGTATTGGGTCAGACAAATGACTGTATCTCTGCAAATATTTCATCGGCAAACGTAACATTTTACCAATGTTAATTGGGGACATGTGTGCATGTTCACACAAAATTTCATCAAAATCTGTGATGGTCAAGCAGGGACCCCCAGACCACTTGACATGAAATGACCCCTTAATATACAAATATATATTATCTATGCTGGAAAATCCATCCTGCTTGTTTTGGCATAACACGATCTTAGTTGAATTTTGTTCAGTAATGTTTTGGAAAGGAAATGAGCTTTCTTAACTTTAATTTGGAATTCATAAGCACACATTTATGTCCTGAAGGAATGTTATTTTATTCCCTTATTTGCGGTAAAATTCCCATTGAGCCTTTAAGCCAATTGATTGAAATACTTGTCAGAATCAAGAGGGGGGGGGGGGAAGGTGCATCAGTATTACTGCACACATTTTGTAAAATGTCTCCAGATTTGATTCAACTGAAGCCCAGAACAAGGAAGATATTTGGAGCTTCTATTAGCCAAATGCAGGTCCATTCTGGACAAACCTCGGAGTTACAACATGCACAGAAAATAAATGTACACCTCAAAATTAATGGGAATGTTTAAACAATTCAGTCTTTCTCATAATTGATGCTGCTTTGTAGATTTCCATTGGTTTTTGTGAAGAGAGAACATTTTAGTTTGTACTTAATTAAATATATATTTGCATTGTATCAGTATTTGCTTTTTATGGGCCAGACAGTAGCTCTTTTAAGCACATACAGTATATACTAATTTCTGTTCTCTTATTTTTTTCTAGGTGAAGCTATTTTTCACAAAAACAGTAGAAGAGCCATCAAACCCAGAAGCTAGCAGCTCAACTTCAGTAACACCGGATGTTAGTGATAATGAACCTGATCACTATAGATATTCTGACACCACTGACTCTGATCCAGAGAACGAACCTTTTGATGAAGATCAGCATACGCAGATTACTAAAGTCTGATTTTTTTTTTTTTATTTGGGAAAAAATACCACAATGAAGAAAACTTGAATAAACTGAATTATGGACCTTTTAAAATGGCAATAGGACACTGTGTCAGAATTATCTGTTGTAGGAACAGTTCTTTACCTGACCAATCTCATTTTGCCCTATTAAGCCTTTGGCTTGACACTTCTCCCATTGAAAAAAGAAAAAAAAGGTTACGTAGCTATGTTATGTATATACCTTTTGGTGTCAAGAGGACATTGAAATTTCAATTAGGAATACACAAAAATGGCACTTTCCTATTTGATTCCAGTTTTATAAAAGTGGAGACAGATCTGATGTGTATACGTAGGAATCTTCCTTTTGTGTTCTGTCACCAACTGAAGTTCCTGTAAAGCTCTTTCTAATACACAAGTTCACATCCTGCCCCTTTCTTTGCACTTTTGTGGCAACAGATAAGTCTGCAGTTGGCTCAGAGAAGTTACTGGGTTTTACTACATTCAAATGCATGTACCATGGATAGGAGTGTGGAAGGAGAAGCTGAGAAAGGAATGTTCTGTGCTGAACCCTGGACTGTGTACCATTTCTAGCTTACATGCACCTCTTTCGCATGCTACAGTAATAAATCCTGGACATATGAGGAATTGCCGCTGTCACTGCTTGTTTGTGCATTTTATTTTATTTTTTTAAGCATAATGGTGCTAGAAAAGGCAGCTGGAGGGGAACAGGAATGAACCTTCAATGGCATCGTAAAAATAAATGAAGGGTTAAAAATATGGTTTTACATGAAACAAACTAGATTTTCAGCTTGTACACTTGACAGTTAAAAGGGATGAAGGTGTGCATACAGGCTCCACCCCACATCCCTGCACATTTAGCTGCCCTGCAGAATTTCACATACACCTGTAGTCACTAAGATATGTAGGGAGTTGTAAGTGCTGCAATGAATGTAGTTTACTGTTCATTGTTTGGAAAGCTTGATAAGGCTGGGAGTCCTTGAGTTGCAGGTGTCTCCAGGTGAACACAACACCTGCAAATCTTCCTGCTGTAGACATGGGAATGTTAGGGGTGATGCTTACCTGTGTACCCTCACCCTTGGGATAATTTGAGTGCATATGTTTGCATGTTAACAGTCTAATTGCCTGCAGAGGGCAACAATAACAATCATACCAATGTGATGGTTATCTAGCAGAGATGGGCTTACAAAATTGTTTTGTGTGTTATAATTGCCATTCCCAAGCTTTGGATGATAAATGTCAGAGCAATATTATGTCTAAAAAACCAACAACAAGACCCCCCCCCTTTTGTCTTTCAAAACATGGAATTGCCATTTTGACGTTTTGTGTAAAAACTTGCTTGTTTATTGGTTAACATATTATTAATTATCCCACTCGAGTAAACAAATTTGAAATCCATTGTGCCAGTCCGTAGCATTAATAACAAGATTGTAGTGGCAACTAGTCAAGGCAAAACTCAGGCTGAATCCTGGACAAAGGAGCAAACGTGCTCCTTCAACATTCATTGGTGAATTTTGTTATCTTTCCTAATCCTGTGTGTAGTTCTGTGCCTATAATTTTATACTGATTTTAGTAGAGCTTGCATGTAGCTGCACAAAATCATAGCTTTCATCCATTATGTAAACTTTAAAACGCTAATGTTCAGGCTTCGTAAGTTGATCCAGTTCTGCAATACAGAAGATGGAGATTTGATTGGCAAGGGGCAACTTCAGAATTACCTCTGGCTTTTGTCCAGTGAACTGCGTTGAACTTGGCTTTCATACAACACTTTTGCCAGCAACATTAGCTACCTAAAAAAGTAGTGCTTTAAGAATATTTGGATGTTGACAGTGTTCAGTGTCTTGTATAGGAGCTCCAGATTGGAAATTGTTGAATGGCTTTTTGCACTGTTGTTTTTCCTTTCGAGTGTGAAGGTCTGAGTAAGGGTTTTGGATTTTGAATGTGTCAGTAGTTCTGAGAAGCCTTGTTTTATGGTATAGTCATTGGAAAGGAAAATGTCATTATTTATATATACATATATATGTATGTATGTATAACATATATATTATGCATACTCTCCTATAGTTAATTTCAGCTACCATCCCATAGAACATGGCAAGAATTCCTGTGACTGAAAGGTTTGAGTCCTAATTCAAACTTTATTTATACCTAATCATCATTGGCGTGAAAATGCATTCTCCTTTGGTAATTTCTTAAGTTTCTGGACTGTGTGCTTAAATTTTCAGATGTACAGTAGCTTACATGTCTAAAATTATTTGAAGGCATTTTGACAGGAGCTTACTGTTAGGCCCTGTGCCATCCCTCCTCATCTGTATTCTAACTTCCAATAGTTTGTCACAATAGTTAAATTAGCACCAAGGGTTTTTGCTGTGGCATGGTTGCAAACTGAAGGGTCGTTTATATGCAGCACCAATTTCTTTCAGCTTTAGGGAAGGAATAAAGGAAGGAGTAAGTTTTAGGGTGCCAGTGTACAGTTCCATGTTTAAATTCTAGCAACGTGCAATATGTTAACGATGCCTGTGGTTGCCACAAAGTGCCTCGTTTACCTTTTTTAAAATACTGTTCAGATGTGTCATGCATGCAGATGGAAGGGGTGGAACTGCGCACTAAAACGGAGGCTTTAATTGCAGTGCTTGAGTAGAGCTGCCTCTTTACTCTGCCAGTTCAAAATTCTCAGTCTGTTTTCATATAGAACACACACACACACACACACACACACACACACACACACACACACACACATTAAAAAAGTCTATTTAAGCAGCCTTATTCTGATTCAGCCTCTTCAGATACTATTGTGCTGTGCAACAGTGGCTCTGTGTGTAATGCTATGCACACGACAAGAAAATGACATGTACAGGTTAATGTCTCATATGAATCAGATGTCCGTTTGTTATTGTGTTAACAGCCCTTTATCTTAGTGTTAAAACTCCACTTAAAACTGATTAAAGTTTCATTCTTGTCACTGTGTTGGGTGTATTAAGTCACTTTTGTGAGATGGGCGGCCATATAAATTGTTTAAATATATAAATAAAAAATAAAATAAATATATGGAAGTATATTGAATAAAATGCTTATGTTTCTATAAAGTTATGTGAGTCATAATAAGCATGTTTAAAAACATCAAATTTCAAGTTTCTTTAAAAAAACAGGTTGGTGGGCTTTTGCTATTTTTTCATTGAATTTTAAAGGTAACACTTCCTTGCAATGTTTTAAAAGTTTTCCATTATGAAAGTATGAATGTGATTATAACTTTTCATGTTTGGGATCTACACCTTGATTTTGAGTGCGTTAGTGTGGGCATAGCATTATGTTACAGCCTTTGCATTAAGACGGACAAGTGATACTGTACAGTGCCCCTTATGTATATTTTCACCTACAGTGCTCTCAGCTTCTTGCCTTTGAGCTAGCTGGAGCTGATGGGATCCGAAGTCCAAAACTTTTGGAGGGTGTTGCTTGCATATCCCTACATTAAAAGGTTGCATGTGAAAATATGTTTTAAAAAAGATTGGTCTTTTCTTCAACTCAAAGTAACCATGATCACAAATTTTGGAAAAAATCTGCCCGAGGTCAAGAAAAGCTAAAGAAGACGGATACTATTATATACCCATTATTCTGATTGCATTGTAAAGCGGCTGTTTTATTTTTTTTCCAAACTAAAGCACTTAAATACAGTTTGAACATAGATCAAATGTTTTCATCTTTTTAGATCTGGATGGGTTTAATCATACAGCATTCAAATCTTTTATCACCACTAGAAATAAGCAATTTTAATGAATAATTTTGTTCCATGCAAGAATCAAATACAAGTAGAAGTATTTTCAATGTTAATATCTCTGGAAACAGCCAAAAGTCTTTACAAGGTTAACATAAATAACATTTAACATTTTCTAGAAGCCAGTATAAGAATTTTGTTTAAAACTATAACAATTGTTCAGGTTTCTTATATTTCATCTATTAAATGCATACAAGTTCGAATGTTGAGATGATCTGAATTTGTAGTACTCTTGAATGATATACCGAATTCTGCACAAAATGCTCTTTTATGCTGTACTTGTTTTCAAATATTAAAAGTCACTTCACTGTTCTTCCCCATTTTTGAAATGCAAGCACTCCTTAAATCTTACAAATTTCAACAAAGAGGTACAGGTAGTTCTCAACCTGTGACCACAATTGAGCCCAAAATTTATGTTGTTAAATGAGGAATTTGTTAATTGAGTTTTACCCCATTTTATGATCTTGCCACATTTGTTAGGTGAATCACTGCAGTTGATAAGTGACTAACGCAATTATTAAGTGAATCCAGGTTCCCCATTGAGTTTGCTTACAAGAGGGTTGCACAATTAATGACTGCAGGACATTAATTGTCATAAATATGAGTCAGTTGCCAGGCGTCTAAATGTTGAGCACGTGACCTTGGGGATGCTGCAACGGTTGTGTCATCGGCCATAATCCCTTTTTTTCAATGCCATTTTGTAACTTTGGTCACTAAACAAACTGTTGTAAGTCAAGTACTGTGTACCACCTGCACTGTGGGTTTCTGCTAGTAACTGCACCTAGCACCTGCATGTGTTTTAGCATGGTAGTCAACAATAGTTGCTTTTACAGTGAAAAGGGTATGAATATGAGAAAGAAATCCTATTGTACATCGGTTGATTTTTTTTAAAAAAAATGGTAACTTCAATAGGCTTGAATTATTAAATATTTTGTGGATATAGAAGATGTCTTGCTGAAAACAGTACTACATGATGAAAGCAAAACAAGCAGAAGATTAAATGAAATATTGAATAGTTTACTTCAACGCCAAGAGTATGAGAAAAATGTTTTATGTATTTCTGGATAAATTGTTAAGGAATGATTGTGGTGATGCGAGCAGTGTTTATTGGGCACATGAACGTGCCTATGCTTTTGTATGCAGACATTGCAGTTTCGTGGTCTGAGAACCTAAATGATTGAGACAGGTTGGATGGATGCAGCTAGGACCATGTACCTGAAAATCAGCTCCTCAAAGATGAAGGTAGTGTTTTGTCAAGGAAATGGAATGAAAAGTTGCAAGTTATACAAAAATGACAAAACAACTAGAGTACGTAAATTAATTTGGTCTAATGCTTTTTTCCTGCTTTCTAGTCAGACTTAGATTCCTGGCAGCTATATGGACAGGTTCAAGCAATTTCCTTGCCAACGTTTTCAAAAATGCCTTGCCATTTTCTTGACCCAAAGGTGCTTTTTTCAAAAGGCAACCGGACTTTGTTTTCCCTTGAAGATGTTTCCCTTCTCATCCAAGAAGCTTCTTCAATTCTTACTGGTTATTAGAAGCTTCTTGGGTGAGAAGGGAAACATCTCCAAGGGAAAACAAAGTCCAGTCGCTTTTTTTAAAAAGCACCTTTAGGACAACCATGACAGAGATTCTCCATAGACATTTGCCACTGATTTCTTCCTAGGGCTGCAAGAGAGTGATTGATCAAAAGACACCCAGCTGACTTTCTAACCAGACAGTCTTTTTAACTTTTCCCCACTCTCACTCCAGTATCTTCCGCATTAGACCCAACTGGCTCTCTTGAATGCTTACTAGAACTGAGAAAAGAGATGCAGGAATTTTAACACATGCAAATGCCAGCAGAAAGATAGTACTATACTTTTTTTTTAAATGAGGAATAATGGTTGAAAGGAGCAATTCTGTACACTTCCTTCTATGGCAGTGGTGGCGAACCTATGGTATGCGTGCCACAAGCAGCACTCGGAGCCATCTCTGTGGGCACATGTGCTGTTGCCCCAGCTTCGCTTCCCCCCATGACCACCTCACCAGCAGCCCCCCTGGAGGAGAGTCGTCCCTGAGCGTGCCCCATATGGAGCAGCGCAGCCAAGGACATGGCAGCCAGGCAGCGTAGACAAGACTCTGCCCTCATGCCCCATCTCACACAGTTGATGCTGCGGGGCACAGGCAGAGGGCGTGGCTGCCATGGCGCTGCTGGGCTGCCTGGGCAATCTGCGGCGGGCCCTGAAGGCGGTGAGTGGCCCTGCAGGCGGGGGCGGGGCCAGTTTTTGGGCATTCGGTCTCTAAAAGGTTCGCCATCACTTCTATGAAAATGAGATCTGGCCATGTCAATAGAGGCATACCCTTTATAGAATAGAAATAACAGAAATAAGTGGGTGTAGTGAAAATGGATTAATTGGAAAGTGTGTGGTAAATCGGGTTGTAGATGAATGTAGATTCTATATATACAGATGAGTAACCAGAACAAAACAATTAACACTGAGATGGTTCAGTCATATGAAAAGACTGAATTAGAATCAGATTGTAATATAAATATGTGAAGACTGAATAAGTTAAGACCGAAGAAAAATGCTTTTGGATGGTTCTGCTGAGAGCCTCAAAAGTGTATGAGAGGTTTAAGAAACAACAAGCAATGTAAGAAGTGTATTGTTATAGGAGGAGCAAGAATGGTTGGCAGGAATCGTTACATTGAAGTATAATTAATGGGCATACAGTAAATCTATATCTAAATCTATGTCCCCCCATCTCTCCTACCGTAATTTCTTTGGCTTGCTTTATTCCTTTTTTTTTTGTATAATATTGCTTACCTCAAAAAAGAAAATAGCATGATGAAGATGAGCAGATTGATAATTTTAGAAAGCGGCAATATGGCACAGCAACCTTTTACCCAGAATCTTTTCATATTGGTGTCTTTTTTAATTCCTTCCTGCTTGTTTATTAAAACCAGTGAGAACAGAGGCAATCTTAAGTCTTGCATCAGTGACTACAAACCAAGAATTGCTTGCAGTCACAAACCTTCAAACAAAAAATGTTTGAATGAAACTAAAAAAAATAAAAATACAGGAAGTCAAAGTGATTTTGAAAAGAGATGAATTTGATTGAAATTTTACCACTGTCCACATCAGGCTCTATAACCATTGTCAAGTCCACATTTCCCTATTGAAACTCTTAAGGGTTTATTCTCCTTGCCACTCAAGATACGTGAATAGGCATATGCACGAATGGGAAGGATCTTCCACATCCCCACTTTATCATGATCAGATAATTCAGAATGCTTAGAGTTCCTTATTTTCATTTTTCATTATATTATTTTAAAAAATGCAAATCTTTGTCTTAAATCTAAAATAATCATTTCCTCTCTCTTGAATAAATGCAGTTATTTACCAAAGTTGAGTTGGATGCTATCAAAGTTAGTTACTGAACTTTATCTGAGAAATCACAAATTTTGAACTGGATTCTGTAAATAGAGTTATTCTGCTGCTGTTATCGTCCATCTGAATTTTCTTTATTATTGATATTAATATGCTAATAATTAACACCTTAACATTAATTATTGTAGATAGATAGATAGATAGATAGATAGATAGATAGATAGATAGATAGATAGATAGATAGATAGAGTCTCAGTTTAACAAGGGAGCTGTCATACTATCTTAGTACATAATCTGATTGAAGATTTGTCCTCAAGAGGACAATTGCTGAGCTATTTTCTACTGGCAATCAGATGCCACTAGTAGCCATGATAGTTACGGTGCAACAAGTTTAATGCAGGAATCTTGAATGGGTGCCAAGCAGTGGTCCCTCATGGGAATAGTGAGGGATCAAATTTAAGAGAAAATTGGATGTGGATTTGGCATTCTTAGGCTCCAGCACCAAAGTGTTGGTCATAAGCATCAGTGTAGGGATCTACATTTCTCTTGGGGATTACTATATTTACTGCTCCATCTTGGCTTTATGATCAGCGTTGTTTTATAAGTGGAAAAGCATCTCTCCTCATTACATGCAGCAAGTGTAAAAACAAATAAAACACAACAGGAAGCACAGGTTATGCCGTGCCTAGGTGAATTGTTCAAAAGGCTTGGGTAAACCAAAATATCTTTACTTGCTATTGAAAAAGCACAAAAGTAGCATCAGGTAAACTCAAGAGGTAGATTCATGACGTAGAGGCACCAGATAAGAATATGTATATTGGAAGAAATAATCCAGCTATTTCTTTAGATAAAAGAAATAAAGTCCCATTTATTATAAAACTGGTACATTTGATGGAGCAGATTAAAGTTACAGGTAAGGCTGACC